CTGTTAACCCTATCTTTGCTTCTAACTGTCTTATTTCCAAAATAATTCCGTACTGCTTCTTTAATAAATCTATTGTTTTTTTTGTCATCATTTTGAAATTTTTTTTTTTTTATTTTAGGGATATATGTATGTATATATTTTATAATATATTTATATATATATAGTGACATATCCATAGCACCACAAACCTCTATGTACATGTCTACACACCCACACATACATACACACGTACACATTACTTTAAGACACCCTCAGAGAAATCGAAACCTAATTGTCAACAAACCAATGGAAAATTTCCATGTTATTAAAAACTCCAGACTAATAGACTAAACAATTAGAATGAGCCGCTGATCTGACTATCGGCCCTTTCCCACGATTCAGGATACTCAGATTTCGGGACCGAAATCATAAACAAGATGAGAACAAAGAACGGTCCAAAGTACAATTATGAAAGTCACTCAATAAACACTAAAGCCACTCATTAAAAAGCTCCAAAGCTCAGAACCGAAGTTTGATCGTAGATAAAGTAGGAGTTAGAGAGCGAGTTCAGTTTGAGACTTGTAACTATCAAGTCCGTGTTCTTCCAAATAGAAAACAGAATTGTATCGGTTTAAATAAAAATTAATTAAAGTTTTTTTTTATATCAGCCGGTAGGATATTAAGTGAAAGTCGTTTTAACGTCGGTTTTAAACTGGTCTTAGGGATTGTACTGTACAACTAGTATATCCTGACTAGTAAGAAAATAAATCGTCGAACACACAAGTGAAATCCGCCAAAGAACTTATGTGCGAATCCAATTCTCATTTCAAAAAAAAAGTGAAATATTGAAAACCTTTGTAAACAAAATCCAATTCGGTCAATCTCATTAAAAGTGAAATATTGAAAAAACTTTGTGAAAACCAAAACAAACAAAACATGGCAAATCCACCCCAGTTATCCGAAATACATCTGAACCAATTAATTGGTCAGATAAAAGAATTGCCTTATTTCGATGGCAATCCCGCTGATCTAGGCGGATATATCGGACGGGTTGATATCTACTGCAGTTATACCCGACTCAGGACGTTCGTCAAACACACATCATCTACGGAGCTATAGAGAGGACTATAGTGGACGCTGCTAAAGCTGTTTTATCCGAAGAGAAGACGATGAACTGGATTTCTACGAAATTGGCCTTAATTAGAGCATTCAAGGACCATAGGCCATATGAAGACCTCGTTGACAACATAAACCAAACGACCTACAAAGGAAGCATCAGTAAGTTGGTAGACAAGCTAAAACGTAGATCCGCAAATATGATTAATAAGTTAAAAGACAGACCCCACTGATAAATCACTTTATGCAGCATCATTAAATAAAACCATTCAAAGATGCATAGAAAGGAAACTTCCACATAGATTATTTAATGCATTGTCAAAAAGGGATATTTCCACAATTAATAATTTAAAAGAAACAGCAATGGTATTAGGACATTGGGATGCAGATCCTTTTGAGAGCTATAGATCGGTGCGTTACGATAATCCCAGGAATTCGGGAAATACCCACCAAAATTATTATCATCAAAAGAATAATTCAAATTATTACCCAAGACACAGTAATAATTTTAACAGTCATTCAAATTCAAATTCGTATTCAAATCCAAATCCAAATTTAAATAATTCAACAGTTCCTCAGTCCTCAGCAAATCAAAATCGTTATTATCAAGAATTTAGAAATTCTCTAGCCCAAGGCAGAGCTCAAAACTCGCTAAATTACCAAGCATCAACGTCCAATAATTCTCCAAGTGCACCTGTTAAAAGACAAAGAGAAAGCGATAGCACACAGAATAGGATGGATGTAAATTTTCAGCAAACAGCCTCGGAGCCAGAAAATTTTACCCCTATATTAGAGTAGGCATAAAAGGTAAACTTCTTAAAGCCATGGTAGACACAGGTTCATCTATCAACATAATGAACGAAAATTTTGGGGATCTTGAAATTAACAATGAAAAATTAAAAGTCTTTACGATAAATGGATCATTAGAATTAAAAAAGAGTGTAATAATAAAACCAAGTAAAGTTTGTCCAATAGAACAAAAATTTAATTTACATAACTTTCAAAACAATTATGATTTTCTAATTGCAAGGGATTATTTAACAGGATGTAATGCTAAAATAAACTTCGAAGAGGGAACAGTAACCTTAGGTGAAGATAAGTTAATTATCATGTACGGTGATGATGATAAAAAGGATAAGACCGCAATAAAATGCCTTAATCCAAAATCTCAAAAAGAAAAGATTGAAGAGGATAAGACCGCAATAAAATGCCTTAATCCACCCTCATCTGAGGATCAATCTTTTAATTTCGCCATTGATAACGAACTTCGTGAATGCAATGAATTCAGGTTAGAGCATTTAAATAAAGAAGAAAAAGAATGTTTGAAAAAGGTTTTATTTGAATACAACGATATTCAGTACAAAGAAGGCGAAAATTTGACTTTCACAAGTACAATTAAACATAGTATTCAAACCAAACATGAGGATCCTATTTATAAGAAACCTTATAAATATCCTCAAACATTCGACGAAGAAGTCGACAAACAAATGAATGAAATGATGGAACAGGGAATAATTCGTAAATCGAAATCTCCTTACTGTTCACCCATCTGGATGGTTCCTAAGAAAGCCGATGCTTCAGGGAAAATGAAATTTAATAGACTACCGAAATTTAAATGAGATAACCATTAACGATAAATTTCCAATACCTAGGATGGATGAAATATTAGACAAATTGGGAAGATGTCAATATTTCACAACAATTGATTTAGCAAAAGGATTCCATCAAATTCAAATGGATCCCGATTCAATCGCTAAAACAGCATTTTCAACAAAAAATGGCCATTACGAATATACACGAATGCCATTCGGGCTCAAAAATGCTCCCGCTACGTTCCAAAGATCTATGAACTATTTATTAGAAGAATTAATTTATAAGGATTGTTTAGTTTATTTAGATAATATAATGTTTTTTTCCACTTCATTGGAAGAATTTATTTTATCACTAAGGAAAGTATTTGAAAAGTTACGCGATGCAAATTTAAAATTACAATTAAATAAATGCAAATTCAGGAAAAAAGAAAAAGAATTTCTAGGTCATGTAGTTCCCACCACAGGTATAAAACCAAACACAAAAAAGATCAGTGCCATTATAAATTTCCCTACACCAAAAACTCCAAAGGAGATAAAATCATTTTTAGGACTATGTGGATTTTATAGGAAATTTACCAAGTTTAAGGAAAGGAGCCTCAATTAATATTAAAGAAAAAACATATGTAGCAGCATTCAAAAAAATGAAAATCTTAATTACTTCAGATCCCATATTAATATATCCCGACTTTGATAAAACATTTGCCTTAACCACAGATGCTAGCAATATAGCCATAGGAGCAGTCCTATCACAAAATCATAAACCAATATGTTACGCCAGAAGAACATAAAACGAACACGAAATAAATTATTCTACAATAGAAAAAGAACTTCTAGCTATCGTATGGGCTACAGATCATACATGTTTGGAGACCTTTCGTAAACTTAAGTGATCACAAACCCTTAGTTTGCTTGAGTAACATAAAAGAACCAAACATGAAATTACAAAGATAGAAAATTAAATTAAATGAATTCGATTATCAAACAAAATATTGTCCAGGAAAAGAAAATTATGTAGCTGATGCATTATCTAGGGTTAAAATAGAAGAAAACATGTTAGGAGAAGTTGCTAACAGCGTAGATGCAACAGTACATAGTGCACACGAAGATAATCAAAATTACATTTCAATAACTGAAAGACCAATTAATTATTTTTCTAGACAAATTGAATTTATAAAAGGAAACGAAGAAATCAGGGATGTACAACATTATTTTCATAAATTAAAAATCAAATTAACTTACAAAGAAATGACAAATACTTTCGCAAAAGATATCATCAAAGAATATCTATGCACAAAAAAGAGCGCAATATACTTTCACAATGACTCAGATTTTCTTATATTCCAACAATCTTATGTAGAAATAATCAATCCAAATCATTTAACAAAAGTAGTAAGATATACCATGAAATTAGAAGATATCCTTACGTAACAGAATTTAAAGAAAATATATTAAAAAGAAAAAACTTGCAATTAGTTTAGGGAAGAACATTATTTTCCAGACTATCAAAAATAAGTAAAGAACATTGTTAACGAATGTGAAATTTGCAACATTGCAAAAACAGTACATAGGGACACAAGCTTATCTTTCAAAGCTACCCCAGAAATACAAAATATAAGAACAAATTTGTCATAGATTTTTATAAGGTAGGAAACCAGCACTTCTTATCGTGCATTGATATACATATACTCAAAGTTAGCCACTCTTGTTGAGGTCACAAGTAGAGATTGGTTAGAAGCTAAAAGGGCCATAATAAAAGTATTCAATGAAATGGGAAAACCACAAGAAATTACAGCAGACATAGATTTGGCATTTATGTGTGTAGCTCTACATAATTGGTTAAATACAGAAGGTGGCCAAATTCAAGTTACTACAAGTAAAAACGGTATATCAGATATAGAAAGGTTTCATAAAACAGTAAACGAAAAACTAAGAATAATAGGAAGCGACACTGATTCGAATCTTTGTAAAAATAGGTTATACTAAATTTGAATTAATTTTTTATATTTATAATCATAAAACTAAACATAATGCTGACATATTTTTGTATGCAGAAAGTCCCGAGTATAACACACAAGAAAGAAAAACAAAGAAAATTGACAAATTAAATGAAAAACGTCATGATTTTGAAATAGACACAAGATTTAAACAATCACCACAACTAAAATCAAAAACTACAAACCCATTTAATAAGACAGGAAGCTTGAGGAAGGTAGATAAAAAACATTTCGAAGAAATAAACAGAGGCAGGAAAATAACTCATTACAAATCAAAATTTAAAAAGATAATTAATAAAAGTAAATACGATAATTCCAGGGAGGCAGAAGGAATGAAAGGACACAACAACAATCTGATTAGAATCATCACTTTCTTGATTATAATAATAACAACAACTAAAATGGCAATGGGACAAAACATTGAAATAAATCTAATTAAATCTCAGAATGGATACATTGTATTTAAAACCGGATCCATAGATATTCCAACGAATTTCGAATAGCACTATTTAAGTATTAATATAACTAAAACAGAGCAACTATTTGAAAAACTTTTAAAAGAAGCAAATGAATTTAATGATATTATTATCCACAAGCTGTTAATATACTAAAACCCATAAAAATTTCCAAATTAATAATATTGAACCAAATATTTTATTGAGATGGAATATCCCTAAAACATTTTTAAATCACAATTGTATTAATAAAGAAATTTCTATAGTTGGTAATAATTTTATTAAAATACTTAATTGTTGAGTGCAGCTATATGAATTCATACTTTCAAATACCATGTTAGAATACACACAAAACATTTACATAAATAATAATGTAACCAAATTAGAACCCTTGTCATATATTAAGACAAAAGAAATTATAGAAGCACGCACAAAATATTATAATGTATTCCAAATAATAACCACAACTACATTTGTAATTACAATCATAAGCATATTATTATACCTATTCTATAAGCTTAAAAACTAATTGTAAAATATTTAAAAGCAAAGGAAGAAACACGAAAAAGCCAAGAAAATGTAAACGATCAACCTACGAGAAACTTAGAAGATAATATAATAATAATATTTTGTTATATCCAAATTTATTGACCTGAGGACAGGTCACCACAAACCTCTATGTACATGTCTACACACCCACATATACATACCCACGTACACATTACTTTAAGAAACTCTCAGAGAAATCGAAACCTAATTGTCAACAAACCAATGAAAAATTTCCATGTTATTAAAAACTCCAGACTAAGAATGAGCCGCTGATCTGACTATCGGCCTTTTCCCACGATTCAGGGTACTCAGATTTCGGGACCGAAATCAAAAACAAAATGAGAACAAAGAACGGTCCAAAGTACAATTATGGAAGTCACTCAATAAACACTAAAGCCACTCATTAAAAAGCTCCAAAGCTCAGAACCGAAGTTTGATCGTAGATAAAGTAGGAGTTAGAGAGCGAGTTCAGTATGAGACTTTTAACTATCAGGTCGGTGTTCTTCCAAATAGAAAATAAAATTGTATCGGTTTAATTTAACTTACGGTACGAATATTTAATTATATATATGTATTGGGGGCCGTTTGGTGTCGGATTCATTTTTATACATACACTGACCCCCGAAGAACATGTACTTGCTCTCCGACATATGTATATATATATTTTTTATACCCTTGCAGAGGGTATTATAATTTCAGTCAAAAGTTTGCAACGCAGTGAAGGAGCATCATCAGCATCACCAGGAGAGGCGATCTAGCCATGTCCGTCTGTCCGTCCGTCCGTCCGTTTGTCCGTCCGTCCGTCCGTCCGTCCGTCCGTCCGTCCGTCCGTCCGTCCGTCCGTCCGTCCGTTCTTCCGTCCGTCCGCCAGTCCGTCCGTCCGTTTCTACGCAAACTAGTCCCTCATTTTTAAAGCTATCTGCTTGAAACTTTCCCAAAAGTTGTCTTTCTATTGCAGGTAGTATATAAGTCGGAACGAGGCGGATTGGGCGACTATATAATATAGCTGCCATATAACTGATTGATCGGAAATGCCATAACTTTGATATTTGTAAAGTTAGGAAGTTGGGACTTTCTATGGGTTTTATTTTTGGCCATTCAATCCGACCTACCAAATTTCATAAGGATCGGCCGACTAAATCCTATAGCTGCTTGTTGAGCGCAGCGGCAAACCACTCCAACTAAAGAGAGAATCAGAATCACTCATTTCTAAGCGGCTCCTCTTATCTCTCTATTAATTGGACTACTCAGTCTGAGCACCCCTCTCAACACCTACGGTCCGTCGCCAGAGCATACATTTTGCTGTTGTTGATTGCAAGCTGCGGTGTTCGCAAAGCCCGTAGCTCTTGCATACATATAAACGTTAATAAACTGAAGTATTGAATTTATCTCGCCTTGTGATTCGTTTTAAAATAGCTGGCAAAAAGGCTTGTTAGCTCAACATCTGGAGGCCCCTGCGAGATTTTTAAATTCAAGTTTGTGAAAATTCGTTTGTGCAAAAAACTAAACAACCGTTACATTAGGCTGGTTCCGCTTTAAGCCGGTCCTAATAAAATATTGTATGTTATATTATATAATTGCATAAATATCGGCATATTTTGCATGTACTTATATGCATATAGGGCGGTGGTTATTTTGTTTGATATCACAGTGCCTCTCGAACTGGTGACTGTACTTTTTGCCGTTACAACAAAAACAAAGACTTCTGACAATTGTAACTGTAAACTCACGACGAAGGCAACACAGTGGCAAACCATAATATTATGACGGCTGAAAACAAAGTGCGGTTTTTGAAGTGCAAAGCCGAATCGGTGTACAATAGCTTAAAGCGCCTGGATATTTCTCTAGCTAAAGACGCGATTTGCCTGTTTGTGTCTGCGGAGTTGACAGTTCGGCTAGAACTTCTTGAGCATACTCAAGCCTCCTTCAGGCTTGCCCACAATGCGCTGGAGGAGCTAGACTATTCGGAAATCGGCAGTAAGCTTAGCGACAATTTTGAAATGCTCATGGTATCGGTCAAGTCACGGCTAAGGCTGCAACTTGACAACTGTCAGCTTCGAATGCCAACATCTTCCACTATGCACCTTGATCCCAGCCTGGATCAGTCAACTGTCATGGTTGATCGAGGGCATAGGACTCGCCAGCCCGAAGTAAAACTGCCTACATTCTCCAGTGGATACACCGAATACTCTGACTTCCCACCATGTTTACCTCGATGATAGATAAGGACCCCTACTTGGCTGACATAGAAAAGCTTCAACATTTGCGGTCATGCTTAGCTGGAGCTGCGCTGGAGTCGGTTCGATCATTAGAAATATCTGGTGCCAATTATCGTGCGGCACTAGAAATCCTAAATAAGCGCTTTAATAATAAACGTCTTGTTTTCCAGGCACACATCAATGAAATTCTTAGGCTCAAGAGGCTCGAGTCTGCGTCTGCTGTGGCATTGCGGGATTTTTCGGACAAAATTATTGGGCATATGCGAGGGCTTCAGGCCTTGGGAGATTTAAAACAAATCTCAGGCTGCATGGTTGTATACATGATTGCGCAAAAATTGGATGCAGCAACCAAAGCTTACTGGGAGGAAAGTTTGTCAATGGATAGGATTCCAAGCGAGGAGGATTTGCTCTCGTACCTTGAAGGGCAATGCCAGAAACTGGAGAGCGTTCAGCATGGCTTGGCTTCCAACATGGCCCATGACCATTCAGCTCCAAGGCCTGCCAGAAGGCTGTTACTTGGTGCCCAGGTCAGCCAGAGTAGCTGCTCTTTTTGTGATACTCCTGGTCATGGAATATACTCCTGTAGCTCCTTCGCCGGTCTGTCTCCTAGTCTACGGCAAAAATAAATTAAAAGACTTTCCTTGTGCTTCAATTGCCTAAAGAAGGGGCACCACACTCGAACGTGCAATTTCGGCCATTGCCGCACATGCGGTGGAAAACACCACACGCTGCTCCATCTACGCCCTGATGATTCACCGTTGCAAGTTCCTGCTCATCAAATAAATGCTTCATGTTTCCCCGTACCCTCGCAGCCATCTGCCTCGCTTGCGACCCAAGGATTTCATTCTGATGTTGTGCTCTTGGCCATCGCTATAGTTCTTGTAAAGAACAGAGCAGGTTCCCTGGTACCTTGCCGAGTCCTACTGGATTCTGGATCTCAACTACACCTAATTACATCTCGCTTCGCCAAGGAGTTGCAGTTAAGGAAATATCGGTCAGCATCAACGGTAACTGGCCTTGGTGATACAGCTGTTTCTTCGGAAGGATCTACAGTCAGCATCGCCCTCCAGTCGCGTTCTTCTGAATACTCTGTGGCTCTAACGGCGCTGGTCGTGCCAACGATTACGGACAGTCAGCCTAGTTACATCATTGATATTGCTGATTGGAATATGCTTACAGTTGGCTGACCCTGCATTCAACTGTCCCCAGCGCGTTGACCTGCTCCTTGGTGCCGGCCTATTTTATGACCTGTTATGCGTGGGCCAAATTAAGTTGGTTCATGGATTGCCTCTACTGCAGAAGACTCGCCTTGGTTGGATCGTGACTGGTGGTGGAGATAGGCTTCGCGGCAATACATCTCTTTTGGCATCTCAAGGCTTGGAAAATGGAGCTACACTACATAATGTCCGCTTGGAAAATCTGGTTAGGCGATTTTGGGAAGTCGAAAATTTGGACAGTGGAGTTATAACGGCCAGCAAGGAAGAGCTGGAGTGTGAGGATCATTTTATCAAAAACTTCTATCGTCTTCCCTCTGGCACTTACTCTGTTCGCTTGCCGTTGAAGCACCATGCTAAAGCATGGCACACCAAAGATTTCATAATCTTGAACTTAAACTTTTGAGGAATCCCCACTTAAAGCGTCAATATGTGGCCTTTATTAAGGAATATTTGGAGTTAAACCACATGTCCAGAGTCAGCCCCGAGGCTGTGGGCCTTTGCAAGTTTTTCCTGCCGCACCATTGTGTTCTAAAGGAGGATAGCACAACAACCAAGCTTCGCGTTGTTTTCGATGGATCGGCTTTAGCCTCATCCGGGTCGTCTCTTAATGATATCCTTATGGCTGGGCCCGTTATACAGCCAAGGCTGTTTAAATTTATAAAATTTGAATGTATAAAATTTCGTACTTATCAGGTGGCCCTGACTGGAGACATTTGCAAGATGTATCGGTGCGTAAGGGTGAGTGAACCCGATAACTACTTGCATTTTATGGCGAGACGAACCGGACAAAGAGCTCGAAGTTTACAAACTGGATGCAGTGACCTACGGAACCAAGCCTGCCTCATTCCTTTCTGTTCGAGCAATGCCCCAGCTGCCCATTGATGAGAGGGATTCCTTCCCTGCTGGCTCAGTTGCTCTGGAACACGATTTCTATGTCGATGATTTCATCTCCGGTGGAAGCTCTGTTGGTGAGGCTATCGAGAAAATGCGACAGACCACTGAGATACTTGCTCGAGGTGACTTAAAGTTACGAAAGTGGTGCACCAGCCACCCCGAGGTTTTAAAGGATGTGTCAGATGATGACAAGGAGAAGTATTTGAAGTTCGGCGATGGCAGCGATATAACCAAAACTCTTGGTCTTGCATGGGATCCGGCAACAGACGAGCTGCTGTTCTCTTTATCGTCTCTAGATCCCGGCTCCAAGGCCTGCCGACGATCTTTTCTGGCCACCGTTGCTCGTTTCTATGACCCGCTAGGCCTTCTTGGTCCAGTAATCACAAGGGCCAAGCTGTTTCTTCAACAACTCTGCAAGGATAAATTAGATTGGGATGAAAGTTTAACCTTGGCCCGTAACACCTGCTGGATTGAAATGTGCATCAGTTTTCAGAGCGTCCAACGCATATCAATTCCCAAGATTTTTGCTTCTTTCAGAAACTGATGTTGAAATTCATGGTTTCTGCGATGCCAGCGAGGAAGCTTACGGAGCTTGCATATATGTATGTGCTGTCTAGGGGCACTTCTACAGCCAGCAGCCATCTCTTATGCTCCAAATCCCGAGTAGCGCCTCTCAAAACGTTATCTGTATTTAAGCTGGAGTTATGTGGCGCCCTGCTACTAGCCAAGCTGATGAATGAAGTTATGAAAATGGGTATGTTCAATGGTCCTTTTCACTGCTGGTGTGATTCCTCTGTGGTGCTATCCTGGATCGGTAATGAGCCTTG